CCCCCCTTCAGTTTCCTCGGCCTCAGCTTCCTCGGTCTCGGTACAGCAGCAGCAGTCGGCCGCAGTCGCAGTCCTAATCAGTGCGTCTGGAGACACCGAGTAAGGAGCATGTGTGCGTGGTGCGCGGCCCCAGGAGGCAGCGTGCTGCTCCTGACGGTGAAGTGCCCCTCGGCCACCGGCTACGAGGGGGGCCCGGCGTGGACAACCTGCTGTCCGCGGCCGAGGCAGCGCAGCCGTACCTCGGCGGTAACATCGGCGCTGCCCCGTGCGCACCCCGACACCTCTGTGGAGTGCAGCAACCGTCTGTGTAAGTACAAGTGATAATTGTAAGTACAGCTTGGTGGGCTGTTGTCACAGCGTGTTCGGGTATAGGGTCCCCTGCTCGGGGCCACATCGGCGGCCGCCCCCCCGGGCGTACGGCGCGCGATGCACGAGGACACGATTACCCGAATATGCTTGGCGAGTGGACATGAATTACAAGGTTACCCCTGCATCAGTCTGGTTAAAATCGCCCCGACATTGCCTACTTGTACTCAGTATAAATGATTTCCTAACGTAGTTAACTTCCACCTAATTGCTCGTTCTTCGTAACCAAGGGAGTTATGACCAGGAAGATCTGTGCTCCAAAAATATGAAAATAGTGGCTGCGCCTTTTCTGGGGGGTTCAAAGTCCTTCGGCGGCTTTTCGAATTCCCGTCCGAATTAAATTAGCGACGAAAATAAATGTTCACATGCCACGATGGCGGTTAAATGATTGATAACCTGTCACTGCGCACTTGTATTGACCACTAGAGCGAAGCACTCACTTTGCTAACCTGTTTTGTTATATTAAAAACTTATGTGCGTTTATTTTTACGAAATCGTTCTTTGTTGCGCACAAATTTGTCCGTAACAAAAATTTTGTTTGTTTGTTTATGTTTACCCCCAAAATTAGCGTGTAAACTGCGTATTCAAATCTGAAGTCTATATTTTTAGAGGTGCGCCCACAAATAAAGAGGGACGCTAAAGTGTCCGACGTTATTTCGTAAATTTATTAATTTAACGTTGACGCTAACGTGTTATTTTTATTTTATTTTTTAGGCACAGAAGAAGACCAAATACTACAAACGCAGTTGAAGACTGTTCCTATGGGTACCGCACAACATCAAGTGTCCCAGACATCATAAATTCGATACCTTAGACCGAAAATGACGCAGTTCAGCTGCGCGTTCCGAAAGGGACGCAGTTCAGCCACCCGTTGCCAGACTCACTTCTTCGTACAGCAGTAGTTATTCACGATTTGTTTGAGTTTGGTCAGTTCCATCCGTGCCGACTCCACTTGCTCCATCCCCCCGTGTCTTTTTCACGTCGTCTCGTCACCACAGTTCAGCGCCCGCCCTGATAAGGCAGGCTGCAACAGCTGAGCGATGTGAGGCACCTCCAGCCTGGCGCGGCCGTGCTCACAAGACACAAAAGACACTTATCTGGCAATATACACATTTTCAAAGGGGGCGTGCGCTGACTAGGATTGAAACCTTGTTTACTGTCAATCCTACAGACTAAATTTTAAAAGACTTTTACTGTCCATAGAAAGACGCGTTTTTTGCACACCTCAACCGGATGGAGATTTGAATCCAGTAAGTTAGAAATTAACATTCTGTTTCTGGACAATTATTTTTTGGCTATCATTAGGATGCAAATTCCTCACGCGCTAGATTCCTATCTGCATCCGGTTCACACTGATAAACCAAGTGCTCAACACTTGCAAGTGTGCAACCGCAAGTTCAATACTTGCAAGTGTTAAACAATTGCAAGTGTACCACCACTGATTTATACTCAATATTAGTGCACTTGTAACTGTTTAATTCTCCTGGAGTACACTTCTCTAGATCAGGCGCTTAGTGTGAGGGAAGTGTTCAACAGAGGAGTTGCACACTTACAAGTGCACAAATACCGAGTTGAACAGTTGCAAGTGTACAACTACTGAATTGAACACTTGCAAGTTATTGAATCTGTGGTTGCATACTTACAGGTGTTGAGCAGTCGAACACTTGGTGTATCAGTGCAGATGGGTACAAAATCGCGTCTTTCTATGTACAATAAAAGTCCTTTCAGATTTAGTGTGAGGTATTCGGTCGACAACATCTCCAATTTTAACGGTATAACAGGGGGACAGTTTAAACTGCAAAATTCAAGTCCTGCATATTAAATTGCGAAACAGAATGGTTCCTCTGTTTGTTTAAACCGCAAACGCAAAACGTTTTTCACTCTTAATGTCTAAAGACAACTCTGGTAAGGTGCCCTAATGTGGCCACTGTCCATTGATGGCCACTTTTCTCGATTTCCAGCCAATCTGGTCACTGTACAATCTTGGCCTTCAAGTTGTGTTCTAGTAAGGTCCCTACTTGGGCATAAAAAGACACACTACTACATATCGTTGTCTACATTACAAGAAAAAGGGGTGGCCATCATTGGGCAGGCCCATTCTTAAGGTGGCCATCATAGGGCATCTTACCCTATTGTAAATAGCACTGGACTTCTGTTGCAGCGAACTAAGTGATGAGTTCAGATACCATATTGTAACTTGCAATTACACCTTTAGTAACACGCTTGATGCAATACTGTACCTGAAGTCAGTTGTGCTAGCTACAAAAATTGTACTCAGACATTAGAGTTTCCAGTAAAACTGCAAAACTAAGTAGTTCTACAGCTTGAACTGTGAAACTTATTTTTGGGATCGTTGGAAAAGTCAAAGTGGAAAACGTTTATTGGATTTGCAGGGCACTTTCCAGTAAGAAGAAAAACAGAAAATGGAGCAAAATATGTGATGTTGGTTGAAGTCCCTCTATCTGCGGAAACGTTTCAGCGCAAAACCGTCCAGATATTGGAAAGAAGTAGGTCGAAAGGGGAACACAAGTTTTTGAAAGCATGAAAAATGACGAAAGAGTTAGTAGAGATTGGTACAAACTCCGTTCCTCTGCATTACTGAGATTCACTGTTAAAAATTTCTTGGGATTTCCCAAAGGTTCACATTCCACCACTATTAGAAATTCCCAGAGGACTCCGTCCTTAGTTTTTGTGTACTAAAACCGTTGTTAAAGGTGGAAGTTTTCATTCGTCTTTATGTTTTAAAGCTAAACTTAACACGTGAAATCTACAGAATTCTTTGGGAAATCCCACAAAGGACTTTGGCAATACCGTGAAATCCCAGGATTTTTTGTAACAGTGTTTGTACCATTTCCCATATTGTTTTCGACACTTCATGATTTTCAAAAAGCAATGTCCCTATGTAGCCTTTTTCTTTACAAAACCTTGCAGTGTAGCTCAAACGGCTCTGATTTAGGCCCTTGCAGATCACATTTCTGGTCCTTTTATGTTTTTTTTCGTGGCGTAGTATTGGCAGCTAAAACCAATGCCAGCCCTAGTCCACACACTAAACCCCTATGCATTTTAAAGTGCATAAACATGCAGAATTTTATACAGCCAACAAACTTTATCCATAATTATGTACAAACTGAGCATAATTATGCATGAACTATACTGTACATGCAACTGCTATGCATAAAATTGTGCATAATATTATAGCTGTATAAAATTCTGCATGTGTAAGACCAACACAATGCATGCATAAGGATTTAATGTGTGCATACGTTCCTTGCAATATGGATCGCCTCTAGCGAATGTTGTAAGCGTCGTTCAGCCTACGGCCGAATTCTATTCTAACAAGAAAGGCAGGGAGAATATAAGTCGTACCGCGTCCTAATGCACCTTGACTAAGACTGTTGGATTCCCAGAACGTGCTCACCGCTTTCTCTTTGGCTGCCGACTGGCAGACACCCGCACACTTAACCACCGCCTTCTTCAGTGTTTTACGTACGCACAAACTCGTACGCATCCGCCGGTTCTTTAGGAGGGGTATTTTATGACTGACAATCAGTCTACATACGAACTTGTAGTGAGTAGTGGAGAAGCACACGGGTCCAACTGATTGGTGAGAAAGCGTGGCCTATTGATAGAAAGAACAGTTATGGCACCACGACTAATACTATCGGCGTTTCCTAGACTACATGTTCACTCTCTGGCAGGCAACCGGCCGGCACCAGTCTCTGGTCCCGCCTCACAAGCCGTGGTCCATGCCGCCCTGTGGGTACCCGTCACAGCCGCACTCGCAGTTCCACTGGCTCCTGCCTGCACAGCCCCCTCTCGTCCGGTCCGCACTCGCTGCAAGTCGCCTGATAGCACTGCAACGCGGCGGGTCAGTCAGCGTGGAGGAGGGTGTCGTCCTGTCGTAGGGCTCAGACTCACCTTGCGACCTAGCTGCCTCGGCACGGGCAAGCCAGGGCGAGCGGCAGCAGCACCGTGGTGCCGGGAAGGAGTACGAATGGTTGTTGTCAGTGTCATTTTTCAAGTGCTGCTATGAATGTGCCTCATTCAGGCAAGAGGTAATCTTCGGGAGAGTTGAACCAGAAATCGACTGCGTAGTACTAATTGGCCTTGTATCTTCAGAAGGCTGGTAAAATACAGGCCCGACCTACTCCTTCACCATTGTCGCTGGTCTCCTCGCTGTTCCCCCTGGGCCCAGGGACTCTTCCACGCCGTCCTCGGCTACGTGGGGGTCGATGGACAAACGCGGATCTAAAGAAGAAAGTGCGAGATATGGCGGTTTTCGTACTGGTTAAGACTGAGAGCGGATAGAAAAAAAGATTGTTATCGAGAATGTACGTAAGCCTAGGATTCAATCGATATACATGCGCAACTTACCATGTCACCAGAATCGCATCCCCATCCCGTGACTGAAGGTCAGTCAATGGCCGCAGCCCTGGCGAGTACTTAAGAAGCACAAGGGTTCAATTGCATCACAAGAAACATATGTATTACGAGGAGGGGGCACAAAATTATACCAGCCCGCCGTACCCGGGGTCACCGAGCACAGGGGGTCGTGGGCACCCACGTGACCTCTGCTGGGCCCTTGACAAGTTTCCGTTCCATAGTGGCTGGCCGGATGCAGATGCGCCGTGCGGTCGGCCGCGGCCCAGGCTGAGGCCCTCGCACAACAGAGTTTTGGCCCGTTTGCTGAAAACCTGGAATTCAAATTGTGTTCCAGAGTAAAACGGGTTTTATTGCAAATTCAACAATAAACTGTTAGGAGAAAAATGATCGGAACTTAGGAGAACGATTCAAATTTTGTTGTCTGCTTTGCTTTGACAAATCAAGAGACGGACAGCACGATTGGTACTTGACGTCTATTTCCATATGATATTTCTGCAGGGCAGTACATTTAAGCTGCACTACAGCCCATCCTGGGTAAAAATGGTTGCTATACAAATTTTATAAAATTTTATAAAAATTTATAAAATGTTGTAAAAAGGTATACACCATTATGAAATTTTATTAACGTTTATTATATTTGATAAAATAATATACAGAGGTCTGTATACGTTTTTATAAAATCGAGCACAATGTTGTATAAGCTTTTATAGAAGTGTATACAGACCTCTGTATAAAGTTTTACAAAATATAGTAAACATTTATAAAATTCCATTTAAATTTTTATAACGGTGTATACCATTTTATCAGATTTTATAAATTTTTATAACATTTTACAAAATTTGTATACAAACCATTTTTATCCGGGATGTTGGAATGGCGTTGGAACTGCTTCCTACCTGCTCACGTTAAACAAATAGTGTTATGACTGGCAATCAGTTTACGGGCGAATCTTCAAGTGAGTAGTCAGGAAGCACACAGGTACGATTGCTCAGAGATAAGGTGGTTTATTCAGGAAAAAGGGCTGTGGTTATACAGGGGCCCTACCTACCTCGACTAATACTATTGATCATCCCTAGACGACCTCACCGCTCTAGTTCACTCTCTGGCAGGCAACCGGCACACTCCCACAGTCACACGTCCACACTTATTCAACTCCGGGTACCAACTCATGTTCGGTCCTGCCGCGGAGTACTCGCGACGGTCCTCCTTACCCTGGGTCACCGAGTGGAGGGGGTCGTGATAAGGGCCCCCACGTGACCAGGACCGGCCCTAAACAGATTTCCGTTCGAAAGTGGGCGTATGAGGCTGAGGGCCTCGTACAACAATAGCTGTTGGAGATACACTGCACTGGAAGTAACGAAACAGTAAGTTACATAGGGCCGATAACACTAAGACGAAAGTCAGTTATACTAACAGCATGGGACCGGCCTTTGATAAGCTACCTTGCTACTTCCGTTCAAGAGTGGGCATTGGGCAAATACCGGGCGGATGCAGATGCATCTTCTCATGGCCCGATGTGGGTGTCATTTAAAAGAGTGTTCTGCAGTGATTGTGTTTTTACCAATAATCAGAGTGAGTAAGAGTGCCATCGAAGCGGTTTTGTTTCGGTGTTATTGTTATCAGATAAGGAAGGTAAGCGTTTATCCATGTGGTTTTGTTTTCGGCTATTTGTCCGTCTCATGTGTCTCCAGTTTAAGTTGCTGAAAACAACAGCTGGCCCATCCTTCTACCCAACGAATTCGCCAGGTTCACTCCGCCTGGAAACTCTGTTCAGCACGGGTCCAACGTGCTTTTTGGCTTGGCGGCAACGATTGGCCTTTAAGTCTTTCATCACTCTTCCACTGCCTTACTGCCCTTGGACAGGTAGGAATAACGGCGTGGTACCCTGACTACCCCCAACCTTGCTGCTGCTTTAAAATGTAAATATAAGAGCAGCTTTCAGCTCGTATACACACTAAAACAAATGTATCTATTTTAGCTCTGAAATGGTTTACCATAAGACAGAAGCGAAGAGTGCTTTCGGTTCAGAAACTCCAATTTGGGGGGGGGGGGGGGAGATTTATAGATTATAGGGCTTCTTGTGAGTTCCCATCTTGGTACCTGAGTATTTTGTTGACTTGGTTCCTATGATTTCCTATGATTTCGATGATTAATTCTTGATTATTCCCGTCTGATATCCGAACTCCGGACCGGTGCACGCATAATTCTGAGGGTTACTGCTGCCGCTGGACGAGATAAACAGGCTGGGGTCACCAATAACACACGCCTTATCATCCCTCTCCAGAGCGTAGTCACAGAGGCAGTCGCGTCACGTTTTGGACGAATTTATTTGATTTGATAATTGAGAAGTGGCGTTTGGTTTCAGCCCTGCATTACGCAGCAAGTCCCACTAGTATGTGAAACTCAACCCACAAGGGCACATGCCACGTCATATTTCCCCTTTTCCCTTCGTACGATGAGTTGCTATGCGTGATTCCGACCCATTTTACAGTAATACCAGCGCTCAGTCGCTGTAATCTCCGTCAGCAGAGTGGAAGTACATCATCAGTAGTGCTCCGGATAGGGAGCGCAGACGCTAACATACAGGCCAGCTGACGAGTGAGTTCTAATCTGATATTTTCAAATGACGTTGTTTCGCAATTTTTGAGGAGTAAAGGATGACACATACTGTCGTTGATCTCTTACAAAGTGAAAAACACACGTGAGTCCTGAACACTATGTTGCACACATAAAGGAGTTTGTCTAGACATTTGATATGAAGTACTTAACAGTAAGGTCGAACATTTAAAAGTATTCAACTTCAGGGTTGACCATAAGGTTTTGTACTGTTGAGCAGTTAAAGTGTAAGCAAACAGTAAATCATTTAAAAGTGTGCAACATGGTGTTGAGCACTTGCTTGTGCACGGCATTTACAGACTTTTTTATCAGTGAATCCACAACCTCCGCCGTTTGCGATAGCCTGCTGATACGGGCCCATATCGGTGTAACTGGAAAGTAGTATGTTTTCACTTTAAATCTTAAAGGCCTTTTACTGGCCATAGAAAGACGCGATTTTGTGCACATCTCAACCGGATGCAGAATTGAATCCAGCAAGTGCCGAATCGGGTATTTCACCCAATCTAAACCGGATCCAAAGAAGAACAGTTATGCTTCCTGAACTGATTCCTGCCGGACGACCATTGGCTGACGCGGATGAAGTTCGTGGACCTGCCACCAGAACTTCGACTGCTCTGGCGATGGGCCCGAGAACTTCGTCCGCGTCAGCCAATGAACGTCAGGGAGGAAACCGTTCAGGAAGTATTACTGTTCTTCTTTGGATCCGGTTTAAACTTGGTGAAATACCCTGTTAGCATCATGTTTCTGGACAATTATTTTTTTTCTTGTCCATCATTACGATGCAAATTCCTCATTTGCTAGATTCCTATCTGCATCCGGTTGAGATGTGTACAAAAACACGTCTTTCTATGGACAATGAAAGTCCTTTCAGATTTAGTGTGTGCGCATACCCTTTAAGTAGGAAAAGAAATCCATATTTATGGTTTAGAGGTTCTATGTACCATGGCCCTCATTATCCGTTTCTTTTGTTCTACAGACTACTGCGATGAACTTTGTGATTGGCAACAAAAACAAGAATGAAGCAATCGGTCGCAAATTTTCTTATTTTGGTTGCTATATGTGAAGGGGAGAGACTTGCGGTATACAGTAATCTTAAGCGTTAAAACTATGGTTGATTGTGTTTGAGGAGAACGCTAATGCTACTCGCCACGGCAATTATACTGAGAGGCGTCACTCACTCCGTAGCTAACACTCGGCCGAACAGACCCAGCAGGCGGACCAGGAGACTATTCGGCTAAGATGCGGACAGACGGATTTTTACTTAGGACTCCATTTCGTGTCAGAGCTAGGTCGGAGTAGGTGCCTCGGGGTTTTAGGTTACGGTGGGGCCATTCCCGGTGTCCGTTTGCCCCTCCAGGGTCATCCTGGGTCATCATCGGTGATCTCATGTGGTCGGCAATTCCGTCCCCTCCGTCTGTTGTTATGACTGGCAATCAGTCTACGGGCGAATCTTCTAGTGAGTAGTCAAGAAGCACACAGATACGATTGCTCAGAAATAAGGCGTTTCATTCACTAAAACAGGGCAGTGGTTATATAGGGGCCCTACCTTACCTAAGGCACCTCGACTAATCGACTAATACTATTGATGATCCCTAGACGGACTCACCGCTCTAGCTCACTCTCTGGCAGGCAACCGGCACACTCCCACAGTCACACGTCCACACTTATTCAACTCCAGGTACCAACTGAATGCTCGGTCCTGCCGCGGGGCACCCGCGACGGTCCGCCCTACCCTGGGGTCACCGAGTAAAGGGGGTCTTGATGAGGGCCCCCACGTGACCAGGACCGGCCCTAGACAGACTTCCGTTCGAAAGTGGGCGTATGCCGGCCGGATGCAGATGCGCCGTGCGGCGGGCCGCAGCCTGGGCTGAGGGCCTCTCGCACAACATGCATGCATACTCTCTACAAATGAATCGTCCCCGATTCATAGGTATAGACATGCAGCGAGTGAGGAAAATTTCGAAAAAACAAAGTTAGGATGAAGGTGACACAATTTCAGAAAGGAAGTGGTAAAAATTAAACGCGGGAATTTTACAATACAAAAGCCAAAGGCAGCACGAAAAGTAACATACCTAGCAAAAGAAAAGAGGGTGAGTTTACTCGAACTAAATATTGAGAAAAAAACAAGTGTAATAACATTAAAATAGAGTCGAGGTGCAAAAAAATAATAAGAGAACGAGGTAAAAAGAAAAGAATACAAAATAATAGAAAAAGTCAACTAATAAAAAAAGTAAAATAATGAAGCTAAGACCTAACTTCAAAGTTCAAAAAAAATAAAGTATAAGTGTAAAAATGGAATATATATGTTATGACTGACAATCAGTCTACGGGCGAATCTTCTAGTGAGTAGTCAGGAAGCACACAGATATGATTGCTCAGAAAGTAAGGTATTTATTCAGGAAAACAGGGCAAGGATTATATAAGGCCCTACCTAACCTAAGGCAACTCGACTAATACTACTGGTGATTGGTGATCCCTAAACGAACTCACCGCTCTGGCTCACTCTCTGGCAGGCAACCGGCACACTCCCACAGTCACACGTCCGCACTAATTCAACTCCGGGTACCCACTGAATGCCCGATCCTGCCGCGGGGCACCCGCGACGGTCCGCCCTACCCGGGGTCACCGAGTAGAGGGGGTCGCACGATGTAGTTAATACGGTGTAGGCTCTCCTGCCGGTAGAGGGCTCAAAGACGGCCGCGGAAAGACGGCACATTCGTAGTTCCAGAAGAGCCGCCGGTGGCGCTGGCGTCGACCGATGCCGGGCGAGGGGAGGCGGGAAGGGACGGGAGCGGTGCCCCGCTCGTCTCGTCCCTTCTCCCC